AAATTATACGTGTTTTGGAAATGTTGAGTCGAATTAGTCTAGAATCGGTTAATTTTATAGAAGAAAACCTTTCGAACAGCCTTAGTCCGTAAAGTTCCCACCTATCGGGCTGCGATTGGCTCATGTATTTAATCGTTCCTACAAGGTAAAATTCGATTAGCATGGAACGTATCTAAGCGTTATAGGGGGGTCTACTGTATATATATATTTAAATGTATAGACCAAATTGTTCACATTTAAGTGATATAAATATATATATAAATACTATATTTCTGTACTCATAAATATTTTATCAAAGATTTTACTATGTAATAATTATTAAATATTAAGTTTGATATTTTGAAATTTAAGTTTCGCCAAACATAAAGGTGTTTATACTCCTCCAAAATTTCTGATGTACAACTCTGCTTGCAATGAAGTTCGTTCAGAAAGGATTTTTGGAGAATTTTCTGGAATTTCTCGTAATGTTTCTACCACAAACAAAAGGCAAGTCACCTTAAGCTGTTCACATTAATGTCTGTTAAAAAGGCGAGAAGTACGTACTACCGGAACCAATCAAAAGGATTATTATCCAAAAGTATAAAGAAGGAGACACTCAAAGCATTATCGCGCAGGATGTGTAGCTATCTCAGTCTACAGTCTAGGGAATAATAAAATATTTTTGAGAAAGGAGAAACATTTGTCCAGGTAAAGCTTTAGGAAGAAAACTACTACTCAATTCGAGACAACTACGGTCCTTTCGACGTTATATTTCCAAAAATAAGGAAGATTCCATAGCAGATTTGCAAAGTGGGCAATACTTTAATATTTCGCTATCTGAATGCACAGTGTAAAGATATATCTAATGATACAAATCCAAAGAAAACCTTTCATAAATGAATTATGAAGGTGTAGACGAATAGCTTAGGCCAGAACTAATCTAAAGACACACAACCCGATTAGAAAAAATATTATAGTTGGATGAATAAACATTGCATGTAAACTATGGAAATACAGACAAGAAAGTTATTCGTACTTAAAAGATGAAGCTAATAATCAAGCAGGTTATTAAAACGAGTCCAGAAGCCACAGTCTGTAATGGTCGGGGTTGCATGAGCGTAGAGGAAGAAAGTTGGATATTTTCATTTCTGTGATGGTGCTGTGAACCCTGTTAACACATTGAACGAAGTTCAAAGAAACATGTTGCAAAGACTCTGCAGATTGTAAATTACATATTTTAATAGAAAGATGTTTTCCCAAAATCTAAGCTTCTGATATTTTTTTATAAATGAGTTTTCGTTGCAAAAAAAAATTTGTGCATTATACTATGAATTATATTATGTTTTATTGGTGAACGAAATTCATTGCAAGCGGGGTTGTAAATATAATATTATGAAGTGCTAAATTTAAATAAATAATTCATAATAAAAGTAAATAATATTATCTATTTTTATAGATACGATGGTTCATATTGCAACTTTGTTCCACCTTGTTATCATGCAACGTGTCAACAACGTTATAACAAGCAGACGTTATTGGTAATTGACCCTCATCATCCTTATAAAGGGCCTTTCTTATCGAAATTCCTCTTTGCTTCATGCTGCGTTTGTTATGTACCGAAACATTCGAAAAAGAATTACTAAATTTCACCGTAAGAAGATTAAAAAAGTAACCTATATAATTCTACAAAAATAATTGCTTACTTATTTACAAAATATAATACTTTCTAATTACACAACTTATTTTATGTAAACCTACACAATTTTTTTAGAAATGATTAATTAACCTAAATTTAACTAAAATATNTGAACAAACGAGGGCTCCCTAGAACAAATTTCCGATTAATAACATATTTTTATTTCGTCATAAATTTTTTTATGATAAATTTATGATAAACATAAGAAAAATGAAGATTTTGTTGATATTTCCGATCAACAAAAAAGCTTAGAAGATGACGATACTTTGTAAAAATAAAACGCCATCGTTGGCACGTAACTACCGTGTTATATGAGGAATACCTGTATTTTAGTAAATAAGATTATAAATTGATTCTTATAAAAATGCCTTAGTAATTTTTTTACTTTCAGTTAAACTTTTGTACTACGAACTATCACTTAAAGCAGCGTTTCTCAAAGTGAGTGATAATGCCTTCTTGTGGGCGCTGGAGGCTTTCAGGAGGGCAGTAAAAGTCAGAAAAGTTCTATATATATATATTTTTTTTATTAAAAGTATTAATTTTTCTTTATTTTTAGTAATTCTTTTAATGAATTTTCATTACTTTAATGTAGTGAATATTTAGAACAGTAAAAATGTTATTAGACTCGTTTAATTGATTTATTAAACCTATCATTTGTCAGGAGAAAAAATATATTTTTCCATAGAAATGCTGCTGACAAACATCTTATTGTATTAACAACCCCATGGCTTGTATTGATTAATTGAAAACGCGTTAATGTTAACTGTACATTCATCTTTTTCTGTATTATTCCAATAATTTCGTAATAATTGTTTTCATATTATAATTGATAGGTGTAAATTATCGGAATTGACTGAAGTAATTGCTATTTTACTATTAGTACATTATTAATTATTAAAGCCCAGGTAAAATAATCTTGTTATTTTTCATATGTCTAAGATTATTTATCTGATATTATTTTAAATTCTTCTTATTTTACTGCTAAATGTACAAGAAACGAGAAAGTTTATAATTTTATATCACACAATACTTAACTTTTATTTAAACAAAAGCAATATTAAAAGACGTAAATACAATAATTAGTGTACAAACGTGCTATAAATTAAGTTTTCGAACTATAACAATTAATAACTTATTAAGAAAAATTTGAAAGAGTTGAATAAAAAATTTTTTACGAAATACTTTCCTTGATATATAATTTTTCCGCGTGCTTTTATGTGATAAATTTCTTTGCCAAGACATTTTGCACTAGTTTGATAATCTTTTTGCAGATATAAATATACTTTAAGCTTCTCAAATGTTAGTTTTATTGTTCTTATTCCGAGAAATAACAAGAATTGCTATGTTTATACGACAGAACTTCTGTAATGGAACTCAATTTTTTTCTTGACAAAGAAAAAAAAAAAAAAAAAGGCAATTTATAAATCTGGCAGAAGTTCAATTATATCTAATAATTTTCAAGTCAACTTCTTTAGAAAAGATAAGGTTGTTTTAACAAGTTCATTTAAGAATCTAATAGAAGTAATTTTGGAAATGTCTATTGATAAATTTTCCTGTTTCATTTATTAAGAACATTATCGTTAAATCTAGTAGCTTTTATCTTCTGCGTGATATATTTTTGCTATGTTAACAACTAGTTCGATCAATCATCTGTTAATTGTAAAGCAAACGAGACTGTTAGTGGATCAGTCATTGACATTTATTGTCACCTTACTTTTGTGTCTGATTCAGAACAGATTCTAAAATTGGATAAAATTAACAAATTTTTTTTATTTAACTTATTTTTTTGTAACTTGACAAAGTAATGATTATTTTACATTTTGTGTCTGTAATTTAACTTCAGAAACAAAGACACATTTGTCTTTCAATAAAAAATTTTATAAATATATTATAACCGTTTAAAATGATATAAATATAAGAAAGTAATGCGAATTGTAAAGAAGATACTATAGCAAACAACTTTTTGCATTAGAAGTTACCGTATTGTCACTAATTGTGATACGATAATTAAAAAAAAAATTATTTATTTTAACTTCATGCGGATAATCTTCTGGTTATATGTATTTAAAAGTCAATTTTTAAAGTATGAGAGGAATATACAATGATGCATATTTGCCGTTTTTAAGTTGCAAGTGTGAATCTTTAAAAGTTTTTTTTATTAATCTAAACTTATATCAATCAGATATCATTGTCGTTGCTTTCAGACATTAGCAGTTAAAACTATCACCGTGTTTTTTTAAACCGTAGGTAAGTAAACATCGGTAAAAATAAAGAATGAAATATGAATGTATCTCGGTACTGGAACACAAAATCTGGAAAAAATCGCTCGGCACTCGAATGAACAAACGAGGGCTCCCTAGAACAAATTTCCGATTAATAACATATTTTTATTTCGTCATAAATTTTTTTATGATAAATTTATGATAAACATAAGAAAAATGAAGATTTTGTTGATATTTCCGATCAACAAAAAAGCTTAGAAGATGACGATACTTTGTAAAAATAAAACGCCATCGTTGGCACGTAACTACCGTGTTATATGAGGAATACCTGTATTTTAGTAAATAAGATTATAAATTGATTCTTATAAAAATGCCTTAGTAATTTTTTTACTTTCAGTTAAACTTTTGTACTACGAACTATCACTTAAAGCAGCGTTTCTCAAAGTGAGTGATAATGCCTTCTTGTGGGCGCTGGAGGCTTTCAGGAGGTCAGTAGAAGGCTCAGTGATTAAATATGAGTTTTATTTCTTCTCATTGAAACATTCTTTGATCTTAGAAATAGGATATGGGTCACACCCCATCTATCCTATCCATATAATAATGCATGTTTAAACATTATATTTGCAATAACTGTTTTTAAGATACCTTTTTACATTACTATCTATTGCGTAAGTTAAAAATATGGGAGCATTAGATTTTTTTAAATTTTAAAGTAGGCGGTAGTCGAAATAAGTTTGAGAACCTGTGACTTAAAGTATTATACTGATTTTTAAAATAGTTCAGCAACCAGTTGCGTAACTTTCCCATAAAAAAATTAAAATTGTGGTAGCGCATCTGTTATAATATTTTATATTTAAAAATGTTATTATTAATTATTATAAATTGGCAATAAGCTTAATTTTGAGGGTAGAGGTAAGTTTTATCTTTTAAAATAACGAATTTGCTAATACGAATTGCTAATACGAATAAAACCTTCATCAAGTCGGACCATACTGGAGATAAGACACACGACCTCTTCTATCTCCTCAACCCCATTTAACAGCATTAATGCCCCTAATACTCAATCGTGCATGCAAAATTTAAGAAAATTTCGATATAAGACACAGGAATTATTAAGCTTCAAATTGGGTGAAGAAAATCGCGCACACACATCCACACATGCAGGCATGGGCGTAGCGAGGGGGGAGCCTGGGTGGGCACGGCCCCTCCCAGGGAACCTGGTGCCCTCCCTAGGAAATCACAGCCGAAAAAGTGTTGAGTCGATTTGTAAAAACCTAAAGCTAAAATAAAAGTTTTGAATACTGAAAAAAGGTGAACGGCTTGCTCGGTGCCCAATAATGAACAATAATTTGAAATAATTCAATTTTGTGTCAGGTTGGCCTCCACTAGGCCNAAAAAGCTTAGAAGATGACGATACTTTGTAAAAATAAAACGCCATCGTTGGCACGTAACTACCGTGTTATATGAGGAATACCTGTATTTTAGTAAATAAGATTATAAATTGATTCTTATAAAAATGCCTTAGTAATTTTTTTACTTTCAGTTAAACTTTTGTACTACGAACTATCACTTAAAGCAGCGTTTCTCAAAGTGAGTGATAATGCCTTCTTGTGGGCGCTGGAGGCTTTCAGGAGGTCAGTAGAAGGCTCAGTGATTAAATATGAGTTTTATTTCTTCTCATTGAAACATTCTTTGATCTTAGAAATAGGATATGGGTCACACCCCATCTATCCTATCCATATAATAATGCATGTTTAAACATTATATTTGCAATAACTGTTTTTAAGATACCTTTTTACATTACTATCTATTGCGTAAGTTAAAAATATGGGAGCATTAGATTTTTTTTAATTTTAAAGTAGGCGGTAGTCGAAATAAGTTTGAGAACCTGTGACTTAAAGTATTATACTGATTTTTAAAATAGTTCAGCAACCAGTTGCGTAACTTTCCCATAAAAAAATTAAAATTGTGGTAGCGCATCTGTTATAATATTTTATATTTAAAAATGTTATTATTAATTATTATAAATTGGCAATAAGCTTAATTTTGAGGGTAGAGATTAGTTTTATCTTTTAAAATAACGAATTTGCTAATACGAATTGCTAATACGAATAAAACCTTCATCAAGTCCGACCATACTGGAGATAGGACACACGACCTCTTCTATCTCCTCAACCACATTTGCTGTTAAATTTTGATCTTTAACGATCAAAATTTAACAGCATTAATGCCCCTAATACTCAATCGTGCATGCAAAATTTAAGAAAATTTCGATATAAGACACAGGAATTATTAAGCTTCAAATTGGGTGAAGAAAATCGCGCACACACATCCACACATGCAGGCATGGGCGTAGCGAGGGGGGGGCCTGGGTGGGCACGGCCCCTCCCAGGGAACCTGGTGCCCTCCCCAGGAAATCACAGCCGAAAAAGTGTTGAGTCGATTTGTAAAAACCTAAAGCTAAAATAAAAGTTTTGAATACTAAAAAAAGGTGAACGGCTTGCTCGGTGCCCAATAATGAACAATAATTTGAAATAATTCAATTTTGTGTCAGGTTGGCCTCCACTAGGCCCCCCATAACAAAACTCTGGCTACGCCCATGACGA